GAATAATCATTATACTGGATGCGATGAGACAAAGAAATTAATATTTCCAAATAGCAATTTCCAGGTAACTGGCATTTCAGCACTGATAAATTTTATTTAGCGACTGAGTAAATATATAGATGTATATAACAGGGAACGATGGCATGCAATTATGGCTATAGTCTGATAATTTTAAAAAAATTCACAAAGAGAATGGTTTATCTGAATTAATATAGATTAAAGTCTTGGTAAAGTACTGACATGAGGCGCTTATAAACTATCTATAGTCATCTCTCCAATAACTGTTATATTATTATTAGTAGTAAAGACAAGATACAAACTGTCTAGTAAAAATACAAAAAATTAAATGAGCGCAATATCAACAGTGACAGGCAATCCTTTTTATTTTCAACAGCACGTAATTTAAATTACATGTAATCTTAAATATATACAAGCATTATTATTAAATAATAAGAAATTCATATGTATGTTTGTTTATATTTCTCGGATTGGAACCCAGAACCACCGAATTTTGAATACACATAGTCCGAACACGTGTAACTCGAAGCCACAGTTTTGATTTCGTGTTTATTTGATAGCCACAGTTTTGATAGTATGTGCGAATTTGTGGAATTTTTCATTAATTTCAGTAATTTAAGAAAAACAATGCTTTAAGTAAAAAACTGGCAATTCTTTAAGATACTTGTATTTAAAATTTAAATAACATTCTCGGCGATTTAAAAAAATATGCTGCCACCGCCTCAAATAAATTTTTATCTTCCATGCGCCAGTGTTTTTTTTTTTATCTTCCAGACAACAAACTATACAATTTAAAAGCAACAAACGCAGTTATTTATGGCAATTTTAATTATTTGCTGAACAACGTAAAATAACATTAGCCAACCTCATTATGCAACTTTTGTATGACTACTTTATGACGTTGTCCGGGTAGGCGGTTCATAGAATTAAAAAAATTAATTTGACCGAAATTTTCATGCCAGTACTGTTTTTTAAAGTCAGTTATAACTTGGTTTCTTTTCTAATAATGACAAGTGAAATTCAGTTTTTTTCGTTCTTTCATTATTTATAGTTTATTCTTTTTGGTTATGAATACTAATCAAATTTGCATAACCAAATGAGTTTATTCTTCAGTTTTTAAGTGTTTGAAAATAAAGATAAATTGTTGACAGTATTTTAAAATATAAATTATTTATCATCCCTATCACTCAATCTTTTTCCTTACCTTCGAATTAACCATGCTCGTCGTTGCCGGGACTGGCCCCGTTAATAGGAACTTGACCGCTTGTGCAATTTACATGGCTTTTTTAACTCTTACATTCAAAAACCTTCAGTCCATGTCGATGTAAAGTAGTATAACATCAGTGAAACTGATTGAACAATTTACAATTTGGTGCAGACTATACCATTCAAAAGCCATCATCTTGTATCGTGTTTTCTGTGCATCGATTAGGGATGCAGGTACTTATGTACTAACACAACCACCTTAGTAAAAATCCAGACTGACTCAAACTAACACAGTACGAGACATAATACTTCTTCGTACTTAACAACGTCGCAATTTTCGTAAACGATCCTTCTGTTGTTGTTCCAAGAATTAGTTTTTACAGACAAATCTCATCATTTTTTGCTTAAACTCAATTTTAAGTTATGAGCTTTTGATATTTGCTCTGACCAAGAAAGTGCTGTAAAACTGCAGAAAGACTATTTTACTGTGAAAACTCTAAAACAACTGTTTGCATCTATTCTTATTTTCACTCAAATAAAAGAGAAAAAAAGTAACTTGTAAGTAGGTTTTTTTTAAACTAATTTTCCGAATGAACACCTAATTAAAATGTAAAATACGGTTGATATAATATGTATGTAGCAATTATCAGTCATCGTTCTTTTTCTTCTATAAATTATCGCCAACCTTATGCCAAGGCGGTTGCGCTAATACCGAGATGCCGTTAGTAGCTGCAAATACATGGGTATGAAATTCTTCAAAAAAGTAAACACAATTCCATTTATTTTTTACCGGATATTAATGTAAATTAAACTCAACACGGCAGATGTAACACTATAATACGAAGAATGAAATATAACGAATTAACAATGGTAAATGGCCCGAAAGAACCATTTATTGATAACGTTATCGCTCTTCTGGCGTGTAGGGCATTCGTTCTCTGCGTATTTACAACTTTCTGTTTTATCAATTTCGCTGAAAATAAATTGGTAAATGGTAAAATTGACAATCTGTAAAATCTTATCCATATAACGCACAAAATAAATATGTAATTTAATGACATCAAAAATTGACATCACTGACTGCTGACGATACATTCTACTAAACATCTTAACGGATCTTCTCATGTGATTAAATTCAGCGAATTCCGGTTAATCAATCAAAAATTTGATCACAACAAGGGAAACGCTTTGCATTATTACATATTTCATGCATTTTACAGGTGCTATAAATATTTTCATAGTCCGTGCAGCCTTTTCTGCTGCGTTTACGGCGACGCTAATCAAGATAGTATTTTAAAGAAAAAACATATGCGATGTTTATCTACTATTTTTCATTTGCGTAAATAAATCACCCACCTTATAATAACCTCTACTTTTTAATTATGCACAGCCATCCAATATGAATCGATTATATAATCATTAAAAAAGATCCATTTACGCTTTTAAAATGCGGAGTTCAAATAGTTTTAGTTCAGAAATATTCGACATTTTCGACTCAGGTTTAATTTATGAAACTTAAATAATGTCGCACAAGAACATTATTTTATATATGTCAATAAATAATGGACTATAAAAATTTCTTGAACATCCGTAACGAATTTAACGGCGAGTATTCGGGATACATACAGCAGCTTGAAATCTTAATATGCGACATCGAATTCTCATAACACAAAAGCCGTTTAAGATTCTTTAATTGCAAAACTTACATCCTATCATCATCGATTCTATGCTAGAATCATACGATAAACTCTTAGTGATTTATTTGTTAAATAATCAATCAAAATCTATCAAAACTATGCAGCTTTTTTTGCAAAGGTCGGAAACGAAAGATAGGTCGAAACTCAGCACATGCAACGTTTCAATAACTATCTCCTTTCTACTAAATATACATTTCAAGTTAAAAATTAGATATATTTGAACAAACGCAATACACTAGAATACAAATAGCACATTAATCAAAATGACTTGGAAGCACAACACCGTAACTTAACATACCTTTTCGTTCTTCCGTAAAAACTACGTTTTTAATGATTTTAAATGAGGCCATTAAAAAAAGAACTTTAAGGAATTTTATAGGCATGAGTATTAATGCCAGTAAACTTCGATTAATTTATTTGTATAAAACTTAACTTTAATGATCATGTGTTTTACGGAGATTTTCGGCAACTATATAGGCAGATGATAAACACAAATGATATGAAAAGAAAATGAAATATATTTGTCTATTTGGGAAGAATATTCACTACTTGCATATCAAATGAGATTTCATTTTTCATTACTAGTGATGTATAACAAAAGAGTCACTAAACGTTCTTCCAATAATTACCTAAGAACATCAGAATAACTTATGCAAAATCTATTTATTAAGACGTTATAAATTTTACACCAAATAAATCTGCCCAAGGTTAGTGTCTTTAAATAATCGTTCCACGGAATAATTATTCAGCACTCATTTGAAATACATATTTAACATTAAGAACAATAACCGTCGCTACGACTGGTAAAATACAGTAATTTCCTCAAGCAACCATTTAAGAGGAAAAAATACAGTAGTTAATTAAGAAGTTTCAAAACACTTTAATAGCCAATACTGTATTCTGATAAATTTTGGTACAGATTAATATACCTTACATCCTTCTTCCCGTTTAAAAAGACATTTTAAAAGCGTAAATCGAAATTTTCATGAACTGTATGAACATAATGAATAAGTGAAATTCAAATTGTGACAACAAACTACTACAGCTCATCTAATTTATATTATAGTTACTGCTAACTTTGTTAATGATCTTTCATACGAAGGTGAAAGTATCTCATGAAGAGCGTTACAACCTTAATATTTTTACAGTTCAAGCATGCGAACAATACGAAATACAATAATCTAATTTATTATCTTTTAGGTGAGAATATATAACTTTGCGATGGTAAATGAGTACTTTTAATTATGATCCGAAAAACTTCGATACCTCGCAATTTGAAGTTCACCGATATAAAACCCGAGTTATCGATTATATGCATTTTCTGAATTTTTGGAAAACCACTAAACCATCAGAAATCCTATTATTCAACATTTTGTCAAAAATTATTATTATCAAATCAAAAATATACGCGGTAAGACAAAATTTTATACCATCTAAACGGAAAACAACTTTAGATTACGAACACTTCGCAAAGTAAGTCTTTTCATTATGACACAAACTAATTGCTTGAAATAGCTACAGTAGTCATACATTAGGAGGTATTAGTTATTACTGTTAAGATATAAATTGTACCCATTTATATTTTTGACGTGATATACAAAAACACCGGGAGTTAAATCTTTGCATGAAGTTTTAACGCTGGTCTTCGAAAATTGCATTTTTTTAACAAAAATTCCTCGAAACACATCATGCAGAATCTCTACATTACAAAAACATTCCTTAATAATCACAATTCATAAATCGAAAATGTAATTTACTAATAAAGCACTAAGAAATACGGATGCTTTCGGAAAGATATACGAGCAACTCGTTTTGGACAAATACGAATAATAGACATGCAATGACATCGATGTCCATTTTGGAAGAAGGATATAAATTAGAAAAAGGTGAGGAGAATTAAAAAAAAAGTAGAAGTTTTTATTCTACGGGTAAATATCTAAAAATTTGAAATTACAAATAAACCAGCAAACAACGAGCAGAATCTAAGTATTAAAATTTTTAACGCCAACACGTAAATTTTTGCTAAAAATAATTAACACAAAAAAACAAACAAAAGACAATAGCTGTACATATACATACCGTGGTAAACGACGAGCAATTTCAGCCGGGCGTATTGAGTCGCTGGTTCCACATACGTAGTGGCCACATCGAGAGCCCCTTTTCGCTTAACTCTGGTTTGGAGCACCGTAGCGTGCGGTAAAAAACGGAGGGTGCGGCGCCAAAATGACACTGGAACTGCACATAAATATTATATGCACTTCTGAATTTTCTCTTTTAAGCTAGGTGTAAAAAAATTGCCGAAACTTAAAAATCTTCATCTTGATTCACTTCAAATGGATACATATCCTTCAATGGAACGCTAATTATTCACATTAAGGAATTTGTACGGATAATCCACATAGAGCTTGCAGAAAAATTCGAAAAATAACTTTCACGTTGAGTTTTTAACCAGGATGGTAAAAATCGTGCTATCGAACAGAAATGACATGGTAATGTGTGTAGTAAAACCTTGGCTTAAATTATCCATGGGGGGAAAAAAAAGGTGAGCTACTTATTTCTGAGGTAGAAGTGTTGCAATTAATAAATGCAAAGGACTAGTTAAAAATCCCAAGCTTCACTATACATTCATTGGAGTGTAGAGATCCTCTTGGTTTGTAAACCCACAGGCCAAAATCCAAGAACATTCCGATGGAAATTAATCCACTAATACACACCAAACAATCCAGTGATGAGAATTACAAATTTAAAAAATTTTTCCTTTGTTTTGAAACACAAGAAAAAAACTTCCTTCGGCGGCACCTATTTCAGTTCCTTTGTGAACACTGGAAACACCGAACTCCACTGCTACCAGCACCGGAGAAAGACGAGCTAGTATTAGGGTTGCCATTCGAAACCAATCTGATCGTAACGAGAGGAAACTTTTGTCGCCAAAATAGCCAACTTCAGTACTTTTAACTCGCCAAATCTTTGCTTGACGCAGTTTTATGATTGATTATAACTGAAAATCGACTATTTGGATCGACATATTTAATTGACATATTCGATAAAATACACAGTTTATACTTTGTTGACTTATGTACAGCTCTTGCTGGTTAAGCTATAATTTCGCTATGTTGTAAATAAGCAGATAAAAAAATATCTCGATATCTTTATTTATTTTTATAAATGAATGAAAAATTTCTCCAGCCTATTTATTGACAAAAATTTCGGAATAAAATAGACTAGTCTTTTTAACATAATATGCTGCTTAGTTTACATTATTAACGACTATTAAGCTAAACAAAGAAACTAAATATAGTAAAAGAGGCATATTTACATTATTTTAAAACGTTTCAATAATAGATTTTACAATTGTTTCTATAATAATTCTATAAGTTTAGAGTTTAGATTAGTAATTAGTGTATTTATTTCATAAGTTCAATTACTTCAGTCAAAAGTGTGGTATAGTAGATAAGATATAAAAGTGTTAACTTAGCAAAGAAAGGAATAAAAAATAAATAAATAAATAAATAAATAAATTAGTTCTTCAAATTCTGAGTAGAAGTTTCATTACAATTTATCGATTGCATTTTATTACAGCATAATACCGTATTATATAAATAATAGATTCCTTTCTACTACCGTTAAATTATCCTTCACTATATGTTACCTAATTGAAGCAGTATTTTACACTACCTATTATAGTTTTCTTCACGCAACATATCCTTTAGGTTCTTGGAATTAGGAGCAATATGTATCCTTTGTTGTTTCGCGCTAGGGTGTGTCAGAGGCGGGGCTAAATATAATTGACAGTTGAGTGATCTATCATGGGCAGTTGTAAGGAATTCTCTAATTGGTCCATTTATGTACAGAATGACCATGGGTTGACAGTAATTAACCAATAGCGTCAATCGAGAAAAGCTTTCTTCTCCATTCGCTTCCACAAAACAGCACTGGAAACTTAGAAAATAGCAATCTTGAAAAACACCACTGAAATTTGTCACTAAAAATGTTAAAGCCAATCATATGCTAATTCAAATATTTAGGAGATAAAGCTTTAAATGGGTTAAGCCAGGGGTTCCCAACCGGTGGTACGCATAGAAAAGTATTAACTATTAAATTCAAAAATCTCGTGAAGAAAAGAAAAATTGATAGAAATCTCCTGTGATCAAACTCGAACTGAAGATTTCAAAAATACACTTGTTAACTTTTGTATGAACCGAAAAATAACTTTAAAGGCATTTCAAATAAAGCTATCAAATTTTTATTGCCTTTTTGCACAACCTATTTGTTTGAACAAGCATTTTCTTCCATGTTATATTTAAAAATAAAATACAGAACAAAATTAAAAGTGGCTCTTAATTTGCGGTTAAAACTAAAGTGAAATAAGACTAGACACAAAGAAATTTGTGTCTCTTAAACAGGCCCAAATTTCGCACTAAATTTTAGAATTAAAGTATTATAACTTAAATTTTGATAATAAAAATGGTAACACATTTTTAACCTAAAATATTTTTTTATGTATGCATATTTAATACAAATAGCCAGTAGGTTGTGCAAATGGCAAAATATATTTATTTTTAATATTTCTATTGAGAAACTGAAAAATAATCATTGTAAAATGTAGCGTTTTTCGGTTTTTATTCAAATGGTACGCGTTAGTCGAAAAGTTGAGAACCACTGCATTAAGCGTCAACACAACAAATACGTTTTTTTCATTCGGCACGTTTGGCAAAAGGGACGCTCATAAAGCTTCTTTGATTGTGGCTTTAATTTCTTTTTACTATACAATTGTAAGCATTTCTTGGTCTGTAGACAGAATGCAAATCTAGTCAAATTCATTAATCACGTTTTTAGTTCTAAATTACATGCACTTTCCGCTAATACTAAAATCCGTTTCTTTTTACTTTGTTTTTTTATATAATAATAAGAATTGTTAAGAACAATTATTCAAATTTAAGAGTAATTATTAATGATTTTAATGTCAGTAGACGTTTTTATAGAAGCAGTATCGTAAGTTTCACTCTTTGTTTTTAATTCAATAGATAGCGCTAGAGTTGTTGCTTCCTTTACTTTTATTTCTGCTGTATAAATAACTATTTTGCAACAAAATGGTATGGAATATCGTTGATTTCAGAATATCCCTCTATTTTTGCTTTTGTATCTTAGTATGGTACATTATTCTACCACAGCATTTATCATGAAATTGAACTGGCAAATGAATGGCCATTCTGGGAATAATTTGCCATCCCAAAGCCTTTAAAAGCAGCTGATCTGCAATTACCAGTTTTCAGAGCTGTTTTCATTAGATGGGAGATAATAACTTTAATTCATCTTACATCATGTCGCTAAAAGATTAAAAAACAATCTTAATAATTTACAGCTTTATTTTATTGCTTAATGCAATTTGTAATTAACTTCTGCTTAATACAATTCGTAATGTATCTCATTCACTCATATAATTTATAATGAATCTAAGATAATTCCTATACGCTTTTAGACCTTTATTTTAAATGACAAAAAAGTGTTTCCAAATTCATTTGTTCCATTAACATCTGACACGATATTTTAAATTTAGTAAATGTGGTAAATGAAATAATGCAAAATTCTAGATGTGATTTACAAATTGTGACTGACAATTTACAAAATCTTATATCAGAATTAAATAATCGTAGATCAGATGAAGCGTATGAACATGCAATTACCATCGCAAGTATCATTTGCTGATGGTTTGGGGGTTGATACTGATTTTCCACTAAGTCGAAAGTTTAAAAAGAAACTATTTCAAGATGAACAAACCGACGAACCAATCAACAATCCAGGACAAAAATTTAAGGTTGAATTTTACAATATAATATTACACACTGCTATTTCTTCAATTACTGAAAGATTCAGTCAATTAAAAGAATATTACAATTACTTCACTATATAGCTAATTTAAAAAACTGGAGTGACAATGAAATTTTAAAACATTGTAAAGAATTAGAACAAAAATTAACGGATACTAAAATGTTAATGAAAAGGACATTGATGGATTAAATAATAAAATCTTTGCGACGTTTTACCAAAGAGGATATGTCACCTATTGATGTTTTAAATTATATTTATGAAAACAATACATTTCCGAATATTGCAATAGCTTTATGGAACCTTGCCAGTTTCGCTGGCTACTGGAGAATGAAGTTTTTAAAACTTAAAATTATAAAAAAACTATATGCCATCTACCATGGCGCAGGAGAGATTATCGGACTTGTCAATTATATCCATAGAGAGCGAAATTTTGAATAAATTAAATATAAAGGAATTGATACGTGCGTTCGTAGCTGCTAAGGCTAGGAGAATCAATATTTGAATATCCTATTTTCTAATTTTTATACTTTACTTAAAAATGTTTTATCATTGTTTTGTTCTTAAAATTTATGAAATAATAAAAAACAATATGACAAACCTGTGTTATTATAATTTATGAAATAATAAAAATAATAGACAATTGTGTATTAATATTATAATTTATGAAATAATAAAAAACAATAGACAAACGTGTATTAATATTATAATTTATGAAATAATAAAAAACAATAGACAAACGTGTATTAATATTATAATTTTTGAGCTTTTCAATTCAAGTCAAATTTTGAATACTATAAAAGAGTATTTCACATATAATTTGCAGCACTTTATAAGTGTGCAACAGAACTTCATAAAGGGGCGCCAAATTTCAATTTGAACAGGGGCGCCTAATACTCACGTGGCGGCCCTGGGTACCTAGAAACATGAATAACGTAGTCCTCCATTCGAGTATGGGCCCAAATTTGTAATTTGTTTTATTATCGATTTCATATTTTCTAAAGCTTTAACGAATATTTGATTAACAAACTCGGCGATTTCAAAGCGAGCACTGTACGAAAAAAGGAACATTTTATCTCCAGCACGCGAGACTGTATATCGAAAATTCTAAAGATATGCTGTTTTAAATATTCTGTGATATTGCTGTTAATTGAATTTTATGGTTACATTACTTATTTTACTTTTGTTAAGCCAGAATGTTTTTAATTCATGACATACCTAATTAAAAGCTTTAAATATTTTTAATAGAATTACATTACATATGTTTTCACTTTTATACACAAGAAAATACGAAGAACCAGTGAAAAATAAATAAATGCATTCTTCCTTAACTTCATGTAGCTTTTTTCTGCAAGAATCCATTTAATACTTATTATTTGATTATTCCTTGTCATTGTTTTGATTACAGTAATTGTGTGTTATTCTGAACCATCTTACTTCCATGTGATATAACAGAATAACAAAATGCCAATCAAATCAAAATAAGGTGAGTGAAGGATTTTGGATTTTCTTGATATATTTTCTCCAATATTATAAAATGCAATATGTAGCATTCCACCTATTATTAAAATAATCGTCTGAGTTATAAAATCGTGTAAGTTACATGCAGCAAACGAATACTGCCATTTTTAAATCACAAAAGCCAAAGAATATTTATACACAGTTCTGGGACACTAATTTCCTGTACCTTTTCATATGCAGAGAGTCGTTTTAAAGCACAACACATATATATATATATATTGCTTCTATGAATTAATACTGTTTTTAGAAAATTTTAGAATTCTAAAATTTCTCTTCTTACATAACTAAATTAAGTAATTTGAGACGTGTTAAATTTACGCATCTTACTTTTCTTTATGAATAAATACACTTAATTAATATTATGTGTTATTGAAAATTATTAAAAGTTGTGTATGAATTCTGAATATTTTATTTGCTAACTCAAAATTTCGTTTCGAGACTAATAACTCTACTGGGATAACGCCCCTTTGTGATACAAAATCAGTTTTCC